CGTCTACCTGTCGATCCACGTTTACGTTTTGTATATAACTTTCCTAACATAGTAAAATATGCATTGTATATTCCATTTAAACTATAAAAACACTGTGAAACGCCTACAGACAATCCTAAAGTTTTAGCGTATCCAATTACAGACAGGCGACTTTCATCGTCTGCTTACCTTATTTGCAAAGTTGCAGAGTCCTGCTGATTGTCTGAGATGTTTGAAAGCGTCTGAATTCTTCCTCAGCTTCGTTATAGACGTCGGGTCACCATTTTGTTAGAGATTTGGAGGGATAACTGGTCCGCTTTTCAAATCTCCGCGCGTTCCTATGAAGCTGGTTATAATACAGGAAGGAATCCATATCTACAAAGTAACCGTTAACAATAATCTACTTTAATGGCAATATGACAATGCAATACAATCATTACAATACAACATGATATATTACAGTTATATTGCAATGCTTAAGGAGTAATGCCGGCTTACTCCTGCTCTAGTCCGCATACTGCAGAGCTACTTTCACCCGAGCGCAGCATGTGAAGAAGAGGCCGAACGCCAGGGATCCACCGGAGATATACCAGAGTAAGAAGGAGGGGTTTGGTGTTAGGTCAGCTGGTCATCTTTTCAGGTCATCTCATTGGGAGACGCAACGCAGCAGGAAACGCAGCAGGAAACCAAACAGGCTCACTTTCCAACAAAAGGTCTCAAGGCCTGCATACCTACACCTCCCCCACAGAGCCATAAAACCCTGTTTACTCCAACCAGCCCAGAATGTTTATAGCCATTTGTAGTCCTTACATTTATGAAAGGATAAAACAGAGAAATCAATATAAAACACAAACACAGGTATTGTTTGAACAGTATTCACTTAACTGCTACTATTGATAAGCACCAGAGAAACCCAAGAGACCTCTCTTAACCTCACAAACACTGCAGCTAGATCTAAGTTGAATGCAAATCAGGACATGCTCTCCCCTTCCCCCATCTTCCTTTGTCCTCAAAAACACATGTCAACAGGCCCCAAATGCAGCTCACAGTTTTACCCAAATTATTCTCATTTTAAGCTTATCCATAGTTTGCTAACATGAATAAATACAAATATAACTCCACATTACTAGAGAAACAAGGACAGAAAGATGGATGTGGGATAGATGTTTGGGCAGTTACTAGAGAAACAAGGACAGAAAGATGGATGTGGGATAGATGTTTGGGCAGTTACTAGAGAAACAAGGATAGACGGATGGATTTGGGATAGATGTTTGGGCAGTTACTAGAGAAACAAGGATAGACGGATGGATTTGGGATAGATGTTTGGGCAGTTACTAGAGAAACAAGGATAGACGGATGGATTTGGGATAGATGTTTGGGCAGTCACTAGAGAAACAAGGATAGAAAGATGGATTTGGGATAGATGTTTGGGCAGTCACTAGAGAAACAAGGATAGACAGATGGATTTGGGATAGATGTTTGGGCAGTTACTAGAGAAACAAGGACAGAAAGATGGATTTGGGATAGATGTTTGGGCAGTTACTAGAGAAACAAGGATAGACGGATGGATTTGGGATAGATGTTTGGGCAGTCACTAGAGAAACAAGGACAGAAAGATGGATTTGGGATAGATGTTTGGGCAGTTACTAGAGAAACAAGGACAGAAAGATGGATTTGGGATAGATGTTTGGGCAGTTACTAGAGAAACAAGGACAGAAAGATGGATTTGGGATAGATGTTTGGGCAGTTACTAGAGAAACAAGGACAGAAAGATAGATTTGGGATAGATGTTTGGGCAGTTACTAGAGAAACAAGGACAGAAAGATAGATTTGGGATAGATGTTTGGGCAGTTACTAGAGAAACAAGGACAGAAAGATAGATTTGGGATAGATGTTTGGGCAGTTACTAGAGAAACAAGGACAGAAAGATGGATGTGGGATAGATGTTTGGGCAGTTACTAGAGAAACAAGGACAGAAGATGGATTTGGGATAGATGTTTGGGCAGTTACTAGAGAAACAAGGACAGAAAGATGGATTTGGGATAGATGTTTGGGCAGTTACTAGAGAAACAAGGACAGAAAGATGGATGTGGGATAGATGTTTGGGCAGTTACTAGAGAAACAAGGACAGAAAGATGGATTTGGGATAGATGTTTGGGCAGTTACTAGAGAAACAAGGATAGACGGATGGATTTGGGATAGATGTTTGGGCAGTTACTAGAGAAACAAGGACAGAAAGATGGATGTGGGATAGATGTTTGGGCAGTTACTAGAGAAACAAGGACAGAAAGATGGATTTGGGATAGATGTTTGGGCAGTTACTAGAGAAACAAGGACAGAAAGATGGATTTGGGATAGATGTTTGGGCAGTTACTAGAGAAACAAGGACAGAAAGATAGATTTGGGATAGATGTTTGGGCAGTTACTAGAGAAACAAGGACAGAAAGATAGATTTGGGATAGATGTTTGGGCAGTTACTAGAGAAACAAGGACAGAAAGATAGATTTGGGATAGATGTTTGGGCAGTTACTAGAGAAACAAGGACAGAAAGATGGATGTGGGATAGATGTTTGGGCAGTTACTAGAGAAACAAGGACAGAAAGATGGATTTGGGATAGATTGTTTGGGCAGTTACTAGAGAAACAAGGACAGAAAGATGGATTTGGGATAGATGTTTGGGCAGTTACTAGAGAAACAAGGACAGAAAGATGGATTTGGGATAGATGTTTGGGCAGTTACTAGAGAAACAAGGATAGACGGATGGATTTGGGATAGATGTTTGGGCAGTTACTAGAGAAACAAGGACAGAAAGATGGATTTGGGATAGATGTTTGGGCAGTTACTAGAGAAACAAGGACAGAAAGATGGATTTGGGATAGATGTTTGGGCAGTTACTAGAGAAACAAGGACAGAAAGATAGATTTGGGATAGATGTTTGGGCAGTTACTAGAGAAACAAGGACAGAAAGATGGATTTGGGATAGATGTTTGGGCAGTTACTAGAGAAACAAGGACAGAAAGATGGATTTGGGATAGATGTTTGGGCAGTTACTAGAGAAACAAGGACAGAAAGATGGATTTGGGATAGATGTTTGGGCAGTTACTAGAGAAACAAGGACAGAAAGATGGATTTGGGATAGATGTTTGGGCAGTTACTAGAGAAACAAGGACAGAAAGATGGATTTGGGATAGATGTTTGGGCAGTTACTAGAGAAACAAGGACAGAAAGATGGATTTGGGATAGATGTTTGGGAAGTTACTAGAGAAACAAGGACAGAAAGATAGATTTGGGATAGATGTTTGGGCAGTTACTAGAGAAACAAGGACAGAAAGATGGATTTGGGATAGATGTTTGGGCAGTTACTAGAGAAACAAGGACAGAAAGATGGATGTGGGATAGATGTTTGGGCAGTTACTAGAGAAACAAGGACAGAAAGATGGTGTTTAATGAGGTCACACATGCATATACTGTCATGGCTTCTTTCCTAGTTTTTCTTTCAAGCCACTTGACGCCTTAAACAGACATTTTGAACTTGTTTTCTTTCCTTTATATTACTTACAGTTGAAGAGTTGCTTGGCCTCCGATGGTTTGGATGATGTTATGCGATGTGTTTGTTCAAAATAAAACAACAAACGTTTACACATGCAACAAAGAAAAGAGGCATTTACAATATTCAAAACAGAGAGGCAAAACTCAAATAAAATACCAAACAACTTAGGTATTCTTTCTTTCTTGATAAGGCTTATATAACTTAATAACTGTTAGGAAAATATCACTCGACACCGGGATGAGAATCAATAGTCAGGTACTAATTTATTCTTGCAAGAAGGAGCAGAGTTAAATCACATACAAAGGATATGGTTCAACTCACACGCATGCGCTATGCTGCTCACTGGAGCAGAAAAAGACATCATCTTATATAGTCTAAAATAAGGAGGCATCAGCAAAGTCGTAAATCGGGTTGGTCAGCAGGTGTCGGGGACATCTCTGGAAAGTCACGTACTTCCTTCGCGCCACTGTTGCTCTTTGCCCCTCAGAGAAGTTAGGAGCCAACAAGTATGTGTCCTCTCGTCTGCATCAACGACATAAATCATGCCCTGCCTTCTCCTATCTCAGAAGAGGCAGCTGCAAGGTCATACACGGTGCAAAGATACACCCACACAGTATCAGTGCATTCAAATCAATAAGAGGAGACAAACTGTATTTTCTCCAACAATAACTTAAAGGGTAATTGGACGGTTAAAAACTGTTCCTCGACGGCGTCTTTCTGACAGGTTGCCCATCACTGTCACTCTAGAGGAGGCGCTGTGGGAATTGTAGTCTTTTATAGTGTGTTGACTACAGACGTCACAATTAGGTGGCCTATACTGGCTCTAACATATACAGCGTGTTATATTATGGGTGAAGTGGTAAAGACCTGTACTTCTAAGGGTTTGAATCAAATACATTCTTACCTTGTGCGTATGTGTGTGTGCACTGCGCTGCACCCACACCCGCTCCAGAGACCACATCACCCCCGTCCTTCAAAACCTGCACTGGCTCCCTGTCCGTCAACGAATACACTTCAAAATCCTTCTGCTAACACACAAAGTTCTCAATAACCAGCCCCCCCCCCCTACCTCACCGACCTGATCCGCCACCACACCCCTTCCCGCAGCCTTCGCTCATCAGAAGCCAACCTCCTTTCTATCCCCACACGAACCAAGCATCCGAACCTGGGGGGACAGAGCCTTCTCCATCGCTGCCCCCACCCTCTGGAACTCCCTTCCACAACACATCAGAGACTGCACCGACCCCCCCACTTTCAAAACACTGACCAAAACACACCTCTTCAGACTGGCTTTTAATTTATGAATTATGTTGTGTTGCCGTTTTAATATTTTTCTATTCTATTTTAATATGTGTTGCTGTTTTAATAATTTTTTATTCTATTTTATCTCGCTTTATCACCTCTGTAAAGCGTCTTTGAGCACCTGGAAAAGCGCTTTGAAATTAAATGTATTATTATTATTATCCATCAGCTGTCCCAGAGTTTCATGCTCTGGTGGGAAATGAGGCGGCAGAGGAGCTGAGGTGCAGCGTGGGAAATGCGGTCCACACGGGCCAGGTGCTGAAGAAGTGCTTCACCAGGATGATGAACTGCGAGAAGAAGGTGTTCGTGGATCAGCTCAACATGCTGGTCAAGAGAGTCACTGAAGACGGTGAGGAGGTTGAAGGGAAGCTGGAAACAGACGCAGGGTTACTGGGTTTAGTTAGTTGATTTAGTTGGTTAGTCATTAAGCATTATTAGAGTTTAGAGGGAGAAGTATCACATTTTATCCAGTGCGTTTTATGTTGTTGCTCTCCGTCTATTTGAACATGACAGGAACAACCATTAACAACATAGTTTTTTCGTTTTAAGTCATACTATATTAACACTTTGGGCATAGAAAAAGACTACTGTTTTTATTCTATATATTGAATTAAATTTGGGAAAAACAGTACCATGTGCCCAAAGAATAAAATAAATACAGGATGCTAAAAAAATGGCTGTATCTTAGAAACAAGGAGCACAATAATGTATTTGGTATCTATTAACTCATAACACTTTGAATATCAAAGATAAGCAGCCATTTGCAGTGTAAACATATTCCATAGGGAAGGTAAATACTAAACCTAATGTTTCCCTAATTTTATAAATTCTCCTGATTTTAAATATTGGTGAAAACGTCAGTTGTACTGTTAAAATGATTTTGGTTTATCGGTTAATTTGACCATACTTAACAATCTGCTCTCTGATGCCCATGTGTTAGAAATAGAGATATATTATATCAGCTGTAAAATGTAATCATGCATCAAGTGGTACTTACTGAAGCAGAAGTAACATAGGTTATCATTAAAAATATAAATACATAGAAAAACGAAATTAAGGCCAGCATCATCGTGGATAAGACAAAACACCGAAATACATTTGATCAAGTGTCCCAGACTAGGAAGGGGAGCAGCACTGTGATTAACCACCAGGAGGCGCAACATCTGAAATGTTCTTATCCTACAGAGGCAGAGATGGCAAAAGTACACACCGAGTATTTTTAAACACGAGTATCTGTACTTCTACTTGAGTAAAGGATGTGACACATGTGTGACACAACCTTTACTCAAGTAGAAGTACAAATACTGGTGTTTAAAAATACTCTGGTAAAAGTAGAAGTACTGACTAAACTTCTTTACTCAAGTAAAAGTAAAGAGGCTTTGAAATGTAATTAAGTAAAAAGTACCCATAACTAGCAGCTGTTTTAAAGAGTACCTCACCTGTATCTGTTTCAAAGAGTACCTGACCTCCCTTTATATTAGTAGAACAATAATGTCATTGTTAGCTAATGAATGTTTCCATGCTGAACAACGGCAACATGACAACGTTTCCATTGGTCCCTCTTCTTTAGAGAAGACCAGGAAATGATGGATACACGGATCGTGTTCAAATCAATAGGCACGCAATGACTCTAAATAATAATGATCACGCCACCAAACACACATTCAGACTAAAGGAACCAGCTGTTTGGAAAATGAGAGAAGTAGAAAGTACAGGTGTTTGAGTTCAACATGTAAGAAGTAGAAAGTACAGGTATTTGAGTTCAACATGTAAGAAGTAGAAAGTACAGGTATTTGTGTTCAACATGTAAGAAGTAGAAAGTACAGGTATTTGTGTTCAACATGTAAGAAGTAGAAAGTACAGGTATTTGGGTTCAACATCTAAGAAGTCAAAGTAAAAAGTTGTCAGAAAAATAAGTAGTGGAGTAAAGTACTGATACCAGATAAATGTACTTGAGTATAGTAACAAAGTATTTGTACTCCACTACTTCCCACCTCTGTACAGATGGGATTTTGAATGGATTTGTCATTTTAAAACTGTTTTTACTAACCAAATAACCCTCATGGATGGTTATGACGTGTGCAGGTGCAGCAGGGAAGGACACGTCGAGCAGCATCGGAGACCTGCTGCTGCGGCTCCACTCTCAGTACCCCGGAGACATCGGGTGCTTCTCCATCTACTTCCTGAACCACATGCTGCTGGAGCCGGGCCAGGCCATGTTCCTGGGGGCCAACGAGCCTCACGCCTACCTCTACGGAGGTCAGACGATGCTTTCTGTTTGTGTTCATGAGATAATGAAGTTGTTGACACTCCAGAGTTCCTCCAGTAGTCCTGTTAATCAGAGAAGTGTTCAGTTTGTGTGTACAGACAGAGAGATCGAAATACCGTTTCCCACAATCCCGAATACAAAAATACCAATATATATAAAAATATGTATATCCTATATATCAATCAATCAATCAATAGACACATTTATACATATGCACACATTAAGACATAAATAAAAGCACAACAATCAATATATACACAATAACAGTCACTTCAATATTGTGGGTGTGTGTGTGTGTGTGTGTGTGTGTGTGTGTGTGTGTGTGTGTGTGTGTGTGTGTGTGTGTGTGTGTGTGTGTGTGTGTGTGTGTGTGTGTGTGTGTGTGTGTGTGTGTGTGTGTGTGTGTGTGTGTGTGTGTGTGTGTGTGTGTGTGTGTGTGTGTGTGTGTGTGTGTGTGTGTGTGTGTGTGTGTGTGTGTGTGTGTGTGTGTGTGTGTGTGTGTGTGTGTGTGTGTGTGTGTGTGTGTGTGTGTGTGTGTGTGTGTGTGTGTGTGTGTGTGTGTGTGTGTGTGTGTGTGTCAACCAAGCCAAAAATGTGACAATGTGTTACTCAATATTTTCTAACTCGCCTGCTCTGTCTGCGGCACTTAACCCAAGCCCATTGGTTCCGACTGAGGACATTAGTCTTTAAGATTGGCTCACACATTTAACATTTTTTATCTCAGTTTCTTGCTAACAGAGCTGGGTAGTGTATTTTTTGCCAAATGTGACAAAAAGGAGAAATTGGGACTATTTTCTGTTGTGAATTAATACACATTTGGTGCCCTTTGAGAATGTCCTGCAGCAGGACAGTGTGTGTGAATAGGACAAAGTAAACTACAGTGTGTGATTTCCTGTTTTTAAATGTTTTTGGAGCTATAAGATATGTGTTTAGAGGAGATCACAGTTATCTGGCACAGTTGACCTTTTTGTGAGTTCACACCCATAGTCAAAAATGTCGGAAATCACTAACGGGCCGGCCACACTACAAGCGTAAAATTCGCTTCCAACGCCCCAAGATTTACGCTTGGGGCGTTTCTTCGAGCCCCGCGACCAACAACCAATCAGAATCTCCATGTGAATCTCCCGCCCCGGACATACAAAGTGAAAAACCCCGGTTCTTCTCCACTATTGCTAAAATGGATGCCGTCTACAAAGGGGGGAATACCACCTTCTCGTCCAGGAGCTCCGTCTCGATGACCGCCTTTTTCAGAGGTACTTCAGGATGAGCAAGGAGGTGTTCGACGAGTTGCTCGGAAAGGTGGGCCCACTGATTACAAAGGTGGACACCCATCTGCGTATGTCAATCGGCCCCGCCGAGCGACTCGCCATCTGCCTACGGTACGTTTTGTGTATTTCTACTTCTTTAATCTGACTCTGTATAGAAGGAGAGAGAATGCACGAATGATGACTGAAGTCTGTGATTTAGTTCAGATGGGTAACATTAATTAAGATATCTAGGTAAACACAGTATTGCTCCCCTGTGTACATGGCGTGTGTGTCTGTGTCTGTGATCAATGTGTGTGTGGGGATCTGTGTGTCTGTCTGTGTTCAATGTGTGTGTCTGTGTGTCTGTGTTCAATGTGTGTGTCTGTTCAATGTGTGTCTGTGTTCAATGTGTGTGTCTGTGTTCAATGTGTGTGTCTGTGTTCAATGTGTGTGTCTGTTCAATGTCTGTGTTCAATGTGTGTGTCTGTGTTCAATGTGTGGAGGGGGGGATCTGTGGTCTGTGTGTGTGTGGGGTCTGAATAAATATATTTTGTAATCATGTATATATCTTTTTTTCTCAGGTACCTGGCAACTGGTGACTCGTACGCGACGATAGCCTTCAGCTATCGGGTCGGGCGTTCTACAGTGGCAGTCATTGTCAAGGAGGTTGCGGGGGCCATCTGGACCGCCCTGGTCGAGGAGTGCATGCCGGTACCACAGGTGGAGGATTGGAGAGCCATCGCTGCTGGGTTCCAGGAGCGCTGGGAGTTTCCCAACTGTGTTGGTGCCATAGATGGGAAGCACGTCGTTATCCAGGCTCCAGCAAATGCAGGTTCCCTCTACTTTAATTATAAGTCCACCCACTCCTTGGTACTGCTGGCTGTGGTGGATGCTGAGTACCTGTTCAGGGTAGTGGATGTTGGAGGCTTTGGGAGGAGCAGCGACAGTGGGAGCCTGCGGAATTCTGCATTTGGAGAGAGCCTCCGAGACGGCAGTCTGCAGCTACCACCTGACACCGTCATCGCAGGATCAGAGCGGCGGGGCCCTCTCCCCCATGTCTTCGTTGGAGATGAGGCATTTCCGCTGCTGGACAACCTTCTGCGTCCATTCCCTGGACGTCACCTCAACCGTGAAAGGAGGTTATTTAACTACCGCCTCAGCCGTGCCAGGTTGGTGGTTGAATGTGCGTTTGGCATCCTCTCAACCCAGTGGAGAATGCTCAGGCGTGTCATCACCACCAGCCCCGAGGTGACGGAGTTGTGTGTGAAGGCTGCCTGTGTGTTGCATAACTTCCTCCGCAGGAAGACCATTGATATGCCATCACGCACACCTATCGCAAGGTCCACGGATGAAGTTACTCCAACCCTGTGTGATGCACCGAGGATGGGCTCCAACAATGCCACACGGCAATCCATCCAACAGCGGGAGACCTTCTGCTCCTACTTCAACGAGGAGGGGGCAGTGCGATGGCAGGCAAATGTGGTGTAGGCCCATATTTGTCTCCAAACCAAAAAGCTCTTTTAAGAGCTACCCATTTTCTTTAAAAAGCAAATATTCCAAATGAGCCATTTTAAAATCAACCATTCCTAATAAACATGTTTCTTGAATTGATATCATGATATAACTAACAACCTTTTTCCTTCAGCCCTGTTTTTAGTGATAAACCACTCATAATTTTCATCAGGGTTTCACCTGAATAATTACAGAAGACAGCACATTATATATCGACATACAAGAAGCTCCTGGTATGTTGTAACTGACAAACCACATGAACAAGTCAAGACACAGTATAGCCATAACATACTTTTAAATAACTTTTATTTATGTGATGTTGTGTGTGATGAGTGATGAGTGTAAAAAGATGTAATGTGGATCAGTATCAGTATCTAATTAATTAATTATTAATGTCCATTTCTGTGGCCTCCAGGACCGCCTCTTGTAGCTTCATTTTCAGTCTCATGCTGCTCGTCCTGCTCAGCTTTTGCATTGCAGGCCAGAGACTCCTTAAAAAAAGGAGGTCCTCGTCTTCCACCTCCACCACTGGTGGTGGGGGTGGTGGTGGTGGTGGTGGTGGTGGCATGGCCAGCATCGGGCCTACGGCCGACAGCAGGTTCTCCTCAAAAGGGGACATCTCCCTTCCCCTGCTCTTCTTCCCCCGGAATGCTGGCACACTGGCCGGCACACCGTCTGGCACACTGGCCGGCACACTGGCCGGCACACTGGCCGGCTGACTGGCCGGCTGACTGCTACCTGGCTCTGGCTGGCTTTCCAGACTGTCATCCAGGCTGTCACCCATAGAGTCTTCCTCTTCTTCTGCTCCGGTGGGTGGAGGCAGGGGTTGCCGGGGGAAATTGCTGGACGTCTCACGGTCCAGCATGAAGGGCTTTAAAAAGCTCATTACTGCCGCGAGACGCCAGGGCTTAGATCCCCCGGAAGCCCCTGCCCCGCTACTTTTCCCTTCCTTCTCCAGGATCCTCTCCCTGCGGTATCGGCCCCTGAGGGACTTCCAACGCTTTTTGCACACTTCGTCTAATAAAATGAAAATGAAAGAATACAGTTAATTTCTTGAATTTCAGAAAATGATTGCTCCATTAATGAAAACCAAATCCCTTTCAATTGCATACAAGGTTTTACATGTCACACTTTATCAGAATCAAAAACAGGTTTATTGCCAGGTAGCTTTGCACATACTAGGAATTTGACTTGATGTCATGGTGCATATATACAAAACAAGAAATCTAATATAAAACACAACATGTATTGTACAGTTAAATTGCAAAAAGATAAAAATTAAATAAAGCAGTAATTTACATGGAAATAGAATGCTAGGAATGAATTTTTGCATATATATATATAACTAAGAAATGTGAAAGGAGTATGACTGTGTGCATTAATGTAATGCAATATAGTCTATGATGTGGCAGCGGATGATTAACATGTATGTGATTAATGTCTATGGCGCTATTTTATGCTAAATATACCGGCTATGTTTCATTAGCTATGTTAACATGAAGTAAACTGGATATAAAATCCCCAAACAGGCGAAAACCTACCAGTTTCCCCCACTGTCTCTGCCACCTCCTTCCATGCCTGGTTCCTCTGGTTTCTATCCCGGTAGGTGAACAGGGTCACATCAAATAATACAGGGTGATTCGCTACCGCTACGATTATAACCTCGTCCATTTTATTTCAAATATAGACATGAACGGCGGGATATCTCAGGATATCTCTCCCAGCGTATGCGCGGTTTTTGATTGGCTACGGCTTGAGCTGTCAGATTTTCTGAAACGGGATTTGATTGGCTTACGCTCACTTGTCAGGAACGGAGAGAGCGTTTCGTGCGTAAAAAGTTCAACATTGTTCAACTTTTTACGCGCGAGACGCTCTCAAAGTTACGCTTGCCTTCCCGTGATGCAGTTCGGCGAAAACGTGAGCGGACGTGACGTCACCCCATTCAAAGTGAATGGGCAGACGCGCTAGAGGCGTAATTTTACGCCTGAAACGCTTGTAGTGTGGAGGGCCCGTAACAATAAAAGTAGGAGTGGAGGAGAAGAAAAAGCTCCTGTAATGCATTTAACTTCACAGGCTGCACATTGTAAGAGTATTAGAGGATTGATTTTCCTGTTTGAAGGAGAGTCCACTGCCAATTCTGCTTATTTAAAACTATTATCTATGTCCTAATCCATCCATGTAGACTGTGTGGAGTGCATGGCCTGCTCAGACAACACGGTGAGGGCCGGTCTGACTCCCAAATACATCGACGTGAACACGCTGTGTGAGATGCTGAACTACACCCCCGCCCCGGCCAGCTCCAAGATCTTCCCCTGTGTCCAGGACGCCTCCGACCCCTGCGTCTCCCTGTACGACCCCCCCGTGCCAGACTTCTCTGTCATGAGGATACAGGTAGAACAATCCAACATTACTGAATGATAACTCTTTAGGAGGGAGGGTGTATTTAACATATGGGGATTTGATTGGTAATGCTAAAGAAATGCAACATTAATAACTCATGACCTGTCACATCTGTGGTCCTCTTGTTATCAGAGAGGGCAAAAGTACACACATCCTTTACTCAAGTAGAAGTACAGATACTCGTGTTTAAAAATACTCTGGTAAAAGTAGAAGTACTGACTAAACTTCTTTACTCAAGTCAAAGTAAAGAAGCTTTGAAATGTACTTCAGTAAAAAGTACCCATAACTAGCAGCTGTTTTAAAGAGTACCTGACCTCCCTTTATATTAATAGAACAATAATGTCATTGTTAGCTAATGAATGTTTCCATGCTGAACAACGGCAACATGACAACGTTTCCATTGGTCCCTCTTCTTTAGAGAAGACCAGGAAATGATGGATACACGGATCTTGTTCAAATCAATAGGCACGCAATGACTCTAAATAATAATGATCACGCATCAAACACACATTCAGACTAAAGGAACCAGCTGTTTGGAAAATGTATTATGTGTCTCTACTGTGACATGTCTCCATGCTCTAATGTTCAAAAAGCTCTTTATTTTTCTCATACTGCCTGTGCTGCAGCACCTCTTTTCACCCTCTGTCTGAAACCAGAGCCCAGTCTGCTCTGATTGGTTAGCTGGCCGGCCTTTGCAGACCATTTACATGCACAGAAACCTATATCACATACTGATTATAGGAAAGGGAAAGCATAAACATAATAGGGCCACTTTAAGAAAGAAAATATTTTTTTTATAAATGACATTGCTTTACTTTAATGCAGCCTTTAAAACCATGAAAATACAACACTCATGCCATGTCACAATATCCAAAATCGAAGGTGATAATTAGTCTCATATCACTAAAATCACAATATATTGCCCATCCCTTAAAGGTCACCTATTGCGCAAAATCCACTTGTTCATGTCTCTTCTACATCTGGAACAAAGATTCTCTCTCTTTTTGTCCTGATCCATTTCTATAAAAACCTGTCTGAAAATGAGCTGATCAGATTTTGGCCACTTTATGATGTCATAACGATTTATTGGCTTGTGTAACCATTAGCCAATCACCAACCAAGGTAACCCCCCCCCCCTCTTATCACCTGAATCTCCTCCTAGAGCACCATTGTGTTCTTTTTAACCAAATATCTCTCAGAGGAGCGTGGGGAGGGGCTCCTTATTTTCATCTAAAGTAACAGACAGAGAATCAGCACTTTGGAAACAGGGCTGAAACTGAGGGGCTTATGGGTAATGCTGCAATGAGACTCTCACCCTGTCCCTCCTGCAGGTCCCCCCCTCAGTGAAGCAGTACACCGTTGCCCCCGTCGACAGCGCCAGCATCCTCCTGGTCATCGAAGGGGACGCCATGGCGACCTCTGTCGCTGCCCTCTCTGACATCACACTGAGCCGGGGCACCGTCCTGTTCGTCTCGGCCAATGAGAGCGTCTCCCTGCATGTCACATGCCCCTCAGGGATGACCATGTTCCGGGCCTGCTGCCTCCTGTAGCTGCCAGTCTGAAGCAGTGTGTGTGTGTGTGAAGGCTTCCTGTGTGTGTGTGCTCCTAAAGATCTACGCTGCGATCAGGATTGAGCCCAATGATCCCCCTGCACCTCACAGTAGGTAGTACGTTAAAGGAGCTTTCAGACACAGAGGCCCCCTCCCACCTAAAACCAACCTGCAGTGTTCTTTAGCTTTAAAGTCCACAGCAGATTTGAATTGTCTTTTTTACCTTGAGCGGTGCAATTTACATCTTATAGAAAAAAAACATAGGATGTTCTCTTCTAAATTCTTTAAAGGTGCTGGGTATATACTGAGAATCAAAAGTCAAATGATATGTCCAGAACACTGACCATGATCCTATTTAAAAAGTAGTAAGGCAGTGCTCAGATCACTTCATCCTTGTGGGGTAAATGATAAGGATTAAAATGTTGCATGAAAGGTTGTTCTTGAACTAGAAAAACCACAGTATAAAGGTCTATGTGGTGTGGTAGCTTTTCTGAAGCGGAAGGGACTTCAATGCTCAGAAGAAAGGAAAATGTGCAATTCAACGACAACTAGGCAAACACTTTCTGATAATGAAGATCATACAGAATTGTCTAGAACAGCAAATAAACATTTGGGCCAAAACAAAACTTCACAACTGATCAAGCTCCACCCACTGATTTGAACCCACAGTTCAAAGCCTCAATATAACTATGAAATAATCCGGGAAATATTGCTCAATGCTCAATTTAAAACTGGCCCTTCTTCAGTGTTTATGACATACTTCCTTTTTAGTGATAAAACACTTACAGCTGCACGTTTTTATCCTATTATAATACTTTCTAACAGAACTGAAGCAGGGTGGAGGACATGTTTACAGAGGTGCAGTACACCACCATCACTCACTGCTTTGTACACCTGCAGAACCACCTGAGGACTGAGCATGTCTGATATATGAACCAGCAGTCTTTCTCAGTTAGTAAATATCCAGACCTGGATACAATACATAGATAGAAAAGTTAAGGGTATATAGTGCAACACTGAGATGCCTGTGCATGTTTGATTTTGAGCAGTAAGACCGGAGAGGGGCCTTCAATCTCGACCGGGGATACATTTAGTTAGCTTTACCAACATCTCCTTTAAGATCGTCCATACAGCTCAAAACATTTTGTAGCTGTATGGACGATGATTAAGTCCACATGTTAAATCTAAAGTTTTTTAGATCTGGCCAAAAGTGAGAGTGAGACTAAAGTCAAAATTCTGAGAAGAAAATCTAATTTATTTTAAGAGAAATTCTGAGATTAAAGTCAGAATTTGAGCAAAACCATTCTGACTTTTTTCTCAGAAGAAGAAAGAAATGTGGCCCTTATCTTCTTCTGTACAGCTGTTGGGTTTCTCAGTCTTTGTCAGGAGGGAGAATAACTTAATGAAGTTAAAGTTAACAAGGGAAAACCAGGACTTGTGAGAAGGAAACGAGAGGATATTTTTGGTTAAACTAGATTGACTGAAATATCAGTTTGAGCTTTTCATTGATAAGAACCTTAGAAAGTTCGGACTAAAATGTGCCTGGCTAAATATGATAGTAAACTAAAAAGGACATTTGACACAGGATTTAGTAGCTTACAAATGTAATCTTGAGTGTCAGTGAAGTTTACCCTGGAAAGTATTACTGCTTTTAACTGTTACCAGTGCATGTTTACGGTGAGGAAACTTATTTTCAAAGTATAAAACAATCATAAAGTTAAAAACTAACAAAGAGGGCCGTTAACCATCACGGTTAATGTCGCTTTCATTAACTACATCTTAAAGTTACTCATGAGGGAAAATGCACTACTGCTGTCCGATGCTTACATGTACAATTTGACTGAAGCCCGTTAACACAAATCTTGTACAGTTGTACAACAAAATGCTGCATTCAGTTTTGTAATATCGTATCAAACATGTCTGTATTTCTAAGTGTGTGAAGCTGGATTTTCAACAGACGTTGCATGTTTTGTTGTTTGAACTGATTCATTATTACTCGACTTTCCATAATAAGTGAAATTGACCCTTGAACAATGCCGTATTGTAAGGTTTTACCTGTGTATTATGTGGTGGTCCAACATGTTGGTAGAATATTGTAAGTAGATTATTTCAGTATGGTGCAAATTTCCACATAATATTCCAGTTTGTATCAGGGTCAATCTGAATGAAGTCAATCAATGAAGTGGATTCTTCTTGAATTATTTGAGTGAATGCTGTAACTGCCTGCCAGTGAGTAAATATGTCTCTTGTAGTTTGAATGAATGACAGTGAATTGATCCAATGCTTTTACCGATGACCATGTAAGTCATGTGGGTTGATTTCTAAGCTTGTCCCTGATGTATGTGCACTAAACCTTTTATTTGTCTGTTGTTGAAATTGTGGAAAAAAGGAAGAATATTTGGGAGGTTTTAAGTTAAAATCATGGTCTTCTTGATTAAGGAACCCTTCCTTCAATTCCTCTTCCTGTAGCTCTAAACATTAAGACGTTTTTTTGTTAACAAACCAACTTTTTTTCCATCTTTTAAAAAAAAATGTATTTAGTAATCGTGTAGAGATCACTGATTTAAATATGAATTGAGTTTTAACTTTTATTTTAGATTCTCACATCGTTGTTACTGATCTTGTTTTGAGTCACCTTATCGTTTTAAAAACTGTATGTCCACACGTTTGTTTTGTCCACTTTGACCTCCTGTCCTTAAAATGCACATGACGCTGAAGTGGTTTAATTATAGTCTTGGAATATTTCTCTAGTAAAGGCATGGTTTAGGGTTTTTAAATATGGTTATGCCTGGGACTGCAGATAACATGTGTGTGTAGAAGTAGTTTAATAAAGCCTTGTTCCATTACTACAACTGAACTCCTTTTATTGCGTCTGCACAGTTTGATGTAAAATCTTACAATACTGCTAACAAATCATTAAGGGCCTGTTCGGTATTACTAATTTGATTTCTATAAGTAAATGTGTACCAACCGTTAGCTGTCGCTGATCTAGAAGCTAGCAGCTATGGTGAGAGCTGTGTGGAAGCAATCTAATCTGCTGTGTACTTCGTATTGAGCGCCAAAAAGGTCCTAAAATCTGTGAATTTAAATTTGAACATTTGAAGTGGGAAACCATTAAAAATGACCGTGTGCTATCTTTGACTGCAATGGTATCATATTAATCCATTATTCTAAATAATTGACTAAAATATTCATGTGTTACAAAGCACTCACCAAAAATGTTGCATAGCATTCTGGACACCCTGTAGAAATACAATACTTTTATTAGCAGATGAATTTACCTTCAATAGAAATATTATGTAGAACTCACGGAAAATAAATTCAGATAAAAACAGATACAAAATGTTCAGTAACAAAACAATATAAATATTAACGTTAAAGAATAGCAAATAGAAACATATTTCCACAACCCTCTTGAAGAATCCCATAGATGCAACATATTTTTTGTCTCAAAGATTATTGTGCAATACATTTCAGTGCATGTTTTTGTTAACCAACTAATCGCACCCTAATCTAGAGGGTTTCAGTGCTTTTTTGTTTAGTGCTGCATAACACAGAAGTAGGACTTTGTGCATGCATTGTCTAGTTTTCACTTCTCTCACCTTTCAAAATCACAGTGGTATAATCCCATTTGCGCTGCGGTTCATTTTTCTTTTTGATACACTGAAGTGAAGTCAATCTTTCATTTGTTCAACTTCCACCATCAAGCATTTGAGGAAATTGACAGCTTCAAAAGAACAGCAGCCATCTTGTTTTGTGTAATGAAAACGTCCAGATGTTTTCACATGTTCTCCTGTGTGGCTTTGTCCTCTTTACTCTCTGTGATCTTCGCTGTCTGTTTTACGTTCTCCCTCAGGGGGCGCTGTCCTTTTGGCTCTTTAGACTGAGCAGCTGGCTTGTCCTTCATGGTGTCCAGGGTGAACAGATGCCTACAGATCAACTCTGGTGTGGGCTGAAGCACACTATACAGAGCCTGCAAAGCCCGCACATCCTCCAAAGCATCATGGGCCTTGTAGTTCACACCCAGCAGCTCCCTGACCAGGTTCTCCTGTCGGAAACTCTTGAGGCCGCGCTCCTTCAGCATCTCCCGGGCCAGAGGCAGAGTGTCCACATAGCCGGAGACCGCGGCCTCAAACTCTGCCCGGAGGTCCAGTTCCTCCAGAGCTCGGGCAAGCACAGGACAGTCGAAGCGGCGGATGTTGTGGCCGACGACGAGAGGATGTCTGAACATCTGGAGGAAAGCTATGAAGGAGACCAGGGCCTCTCGCAGGGTGTTGGTGAAGACAGGCTGGCGATGGAGGTACAGCCTCTGTCTGCGGACCATGAAGCCGGTCACTTTGGACGCTCCTCGCTGCATTTGACCCCGAGGGATGAGGTACAGGTTGAGGGAGTGACCTCCACTCACTGCAGCCAGCTGGACCATCTCACAACTCTTACCTGCGGGAAAAACACAGGAGAGCATCAGGGGAAATTATTACTGGAGATTACATTACATTACATGTTACTTGTTAGACGCTTTTATCCAAAGCGACTTACATACTCAATACTGTGGACAATCCCCACTGGAGCAATTTGGGGTGAAGTGTATTGCCCAGGGAGACAACGACATGCTGACTGCAGTGGGGTTTGAACCTGTGACCCCCTGATCCCAACACCTACACACAACCCACTGCACGGAGATCAGGCCTCCAGGTGGAGTTTTGATTAATTACAAACTGTTAGAAAACTGTGTTAATTAGGCAAGGGATATATGGGTAAAATCTTACTATATCTCATGCTAGGCCTTTTTGTGATGATAAATAATCTTGAAAATCAATTTAGAAACAGTGAATCAATAAGATTCAGAAAATAAAACACCTCACAGTCAATGTACTACACTAAATTGAATGCAACATTGTCAAAGGGCTATCCTTGATGATTATTTTCTAGATTCATTGCAAAATGTCAGATTAATGGTGAAGACTGTCAATCCCAGTTTCTCAAAGTTCAGGGTGATGTCTTTAATGTCTGACTTATCCGAAAGCAGGAAAACTCCTTATTTTAAATGATCAAAAACACATCTTCTGCAATTTTGCCATGAATATTACATAAAGGTTGAATTGACTATTAACTAGCTAGCAATTACTAACTAATTGATTATTTGGCTAATCAATAAGTTGACTAATTGTTGCAGCTCTACATTGCCCAGATGGGCCCTTCACAATGGAGATGTAAAGGTATGAGAAAAGCTCTGATTGAAGCCACATTTTTATCCAATCAAGAAAATGGATCAAACTGAAACCAACTGCAGCCCTAGTGTCAAGTCATAAAATATAACAACATATATGTAATACTTTTAAACAGACATCATTTATAATATCTCAAGCTTGAGGGTAAGATCGAGTAGGCATTATGCAAACTGCCTGTAAACTGATAACTCGTTAATTAAATTTGTAGTGATGACAATAAAACTAAATTAAAGGTTATTATGCAGTAAGTGTCCAGTGTGATTTGTCTACCACAGAAGTTATCCTGACAAAACATGGAAACTTTAAAGCAGAGACATACACTTGTATCTGTCTGAAAACAGGTCATAAGTCCATTTAAAGTCTCATGGAGGTATCTTACTCAGTCCAGTTGTCTCCAAGTCGAAGAAAACCAGCCTCTGTTGTTGAGACTTTTCTGCTCCGTCTGAGCTCTGCATCCCGACACATCCGGTTCAACAATAAGACAGCCACACAGTTTGGTGAAATAAAGAAACACTAGAGACTCTATCAGTTAGTATTTATCTACATATATCAGCGTCACTACAAAGTCGCCTGAAGATTTTCCCTCCATGTTTTTAAACAGCAGAAACTTTCATAATAAAAGCATCGTTCGAGTTTAATTTAAATTAAATAAACTGAAACAAATGAGTTGCAGTCTAGGCTCTAAAAATACACACAGACTAAATTGTGTAGTTTGTGGTGTATGTTTGTAGCAAATTCAAATCGTATTTTTCAGAAAGAAAGCTTGAAAATCAGCTTTCCAAAATAGTCATCTGGAAACATTTCTTCTTCTGTGAAAAAGGAACACAACACAAGCGTCTCAGGCGGAGTGCTGGCCCCTACAGGATTTAATGGCAGCTCAAAAACAAATACTTGGAGCACTGTATACAGAGGTGGAAATGTTTTACCTTTGTCTAAGTACAAGTAGATGTACCAGAGTGTAGGAATACTCTGTTACAAGTACAATTTCTGCATTCAAAATGCCACTCAAGTAAAAGTACAAAATGACTAGCTTTAAAATATACTTAAAAGTGTTGGGGAATATTTTTGCTTAGGTGTTTAACCTTTGACACAGTTCATAATTCTCTCCTTCCTCTGTCTCCTTTCCCATGGCATAGGTCTTCGGCCTTGGGGAGTGCATGGTTGCTATCTCCTTTAGGGAGGAACTGCTCTGGCTTTTTTTGTTGCCAGTTCAGGACCGAGCACCAGCTGGCCTGAGATAATTTATTGTTTAGGAACATCCGGAAATCCTTCTTATCAGGTGCGTAGGTCCCACTGGCATACATTCTTTGGCCATGGACGGCAGTTTTAGTTAGATTTAGTGTCCACACTTTGTTAGTCTTGCTAATGGAGACTATTGATTATACACTCTGAACAAGTTAAAACCTCCGACTAAGCGACAGATCTTTAGAATTGGTTTGGCAACCCCTGTGTCCACTCACACGTCATGTTAATTCTCCGGACCGCAACTTCAAATAAACCATCAGTTTCTGCCATCAAGCTCCAGCTCTCCCCCTGTCTTACTGAGATTTGTCTCCATTGCTTCAGAAGTTTCCATTACAAAAAGTACCAAAAGTAAAAGCACTCATTATGCAGATTGGCCCATTTCAGAATAATATATATTGAATATGTTTTATTAGAATTGTTAGGAAAAATATCACTCGACACCGGCTTGAGAATCAATGATCAGGTCCAAATGTATTCTGACCTGCTCGTGTATAGGTTCTCTTTACGGTAGTTGAATGTTGCTCTTCGCCCTCAAAGAGCCACTCTAAGGGAATGCAGGAGAGAACAGTCTTTCTTTTCCGTGGATAAACAAATTAATCAAGTCTGCTGTTACAGGAGCCATCTGCAAGGTCATGCACAGTTCCAACAGTACAAGATAACAGTAGCAAACAGTATACTATTTTCCCCCAACAATATTTATTGATGCATTAAAGTGTTCTCAAAGCTGGTAAAGGAGCAGCTAGTTTGAATGACTTTGTATACTGCAGGGTAGCTTGTGATTTTACTCCAGGTGGAACTAAAGTCTGATTTAAGGGTTGATTATATTTCACATCATTAATCCAAATCTGTAAAGTAACTAAAGATGTTAAATAAATGTAGTGGAGTAAAAGTACACCATTTACCTCTGAATTGTAGTGGAGTAGAAGTGCAAAGTAGCATAAAATGGAAATACTAAAGTAAAGTTATGATTCGAAAATACAAGTATCTCAAAATTGTTCTTATTACTTGAGTAAATCTACTTAGTTACTTAACACCACTGAGTGTATATCTCTAACAATGATGTTGTTGGTGGATATAATGCCACTGAATATAGTTGTTTACAAGTTCATTACTACAGGTAGAGAAGATAATGAATATAATGATATATGATGTTTGAAAAACAAAGCCAGCCATGCCTTCAAGGAGTAGACATTTCTCCCTGAATGATGGCTAGAAATGAGTTGAAGAAATTGTATAGAAGAGTCAAATGAAAGTTTAATGGTACTTTAAACATTATGCTTCGATTTAAAGGAAATACAAAAACAAACACTTTGAGCATGACACAGAACATCAAAGAGTATGAGCATTATTTAACATGGAGTTCGAGGTGTCACAAGCATTATGTCAGAAATTATGTTTTTTTTTATGTCGATCTGTACAACCACCTGTGGGTACATGATGAGAACACAAAACAACACATATTAACTTTAGTATTTTAATGTTGTTCTGTAGCTTATTTTAAAGCTTAGATCCAGTCGGTGAACTCCCTGATGTCATCATTGTCTGGATTCCAACGATTGCAAAACAGCTCTTCCAGCTGTTTGGCATCCTCCACTGCATTATGGGCATTGTATTTCACTCCCAGGAAGCAGCGGACCAGATACGGCTGATTAAAACGTTTCAGTTGAGGATAGAGCTTCTTGCTCAGCGGTAAGGTATCCATAAACCCAGACACCACCTGTTTGAACTGCTCAAAGAGAGAGAACTTCCTCAGCACTCTCATGAGCACAATTTGATCAAATCTCCATGCGTTGTGGGCCGCCAGCAGCACGGGGCCGGGGAAGCTGACAAGGTAGTGGATGAAGGATTTTAAAGAATGGTAAAGTGACACAGTTCTCACAGGCTCTCCGTGGAGGAACAGTTGGCCATAACTGACGGTGAGGCCGTTCACTTCTGTAGCTCTGTATTCGATGGGGATGCAGGGGAGGATGTAGCGGTTGAAGGTGGTAAGATGTTCACAGCTGGCCCCCAACTGGACGATGTGACAAGATTTAGCGTCTGAAGGAATTCAGAAGAAGGAATTCATGTAATACAAAATATAAAAAGATATAGTCAAAATGATATAGTGGTCATCTTTTGTTCATCAAACGGCTTAATGTTTCCCACTAGAACAAGCGGTTCAAAGCCAAAGGGACTTCAACTACATTCTTCCAGAACACTTTGATATTCTGTAAAGGACAGACCAACTTAACGACCAAGTTGAGATACAATCTTTTCAACAACAAAGTAGTTAACGACCCTCATAAACCCCCGAGACACAGATAAGAAGCAGACCCTAGGAGAGAGTTTAAAACAATACAGGATGGGGGCTGCAGGAGGTGTTACATCCCCCCCTCCCTCCTAATCTGTGCTCCTTTCTCCCTTTCTACTTCTGAATCAGAATACCTTTATTAGTCCCACAGAGGGGACATTTGCAGCGTTGAAGCAGGAAAGAGCCACAGACAGCTTAGTGTTGCATATCTTACATGCGTTAAAAAGTACTAAGTTATAATATAATAAACAATATGCTAAAAAAAAGATAACTAAAAAAAGTTACATCATTTTCAAAAATACAGATAAAAAACAAATCAAGTCTACAAATCAAGTCCTGTAGCAGTTCTTAGGATTTAGCAGCCCGGTATATATTACAGTTATTAAAGATGGCATATGTATATAAAGTATATATTGCACATAAAGCACATATTACACATAGTTTGACGGTATTTAACAGCAGCAAGTTACACAATTTACAAAATACAAGATACATACCTTGAAGAAGATCTCCTTAAAATAATTAAAAGCAATCAAGAAAAATAAAAAAAGACAATTTAAGCCATTTGGACATGCCATCCACACAACGAATTGCAGTAGACTAATTATGAACCTTTGAGCTCAATCAAATAATAAATATATCAATAAATATTGTTAACAAAGTGATCAATGGCATACTGTTGCCCCTCAGGCAACAAACTACCTTTTTGGTCCTCACACCGACTCTTTAATTTTTTTGGAAAATACATTATTTAGAATACCAGACATGTCTGTGTTCACTTGAATGAGGGGTTGGAGGCAGTCATTTCAAGAAGCAAAACCACAGAGTCCTTGGGACAAAAAGCCACTGTCTCGCTTCACAAATATCACTTTTCCACACATTTTAAATGTATCTGACTTTATATAAAAATATATGTATGTGCTTGGATGTGTAAAGAAGTATGTTTGATTGTTCAATACATATTACTTATATATAATCATTTATAAACTAAAACAGTGTTTTTTGTTCGTTGTTTTAGGGTCACCATTCTCTCTGACACGGAGGACTGTGAGCATCAGAGTCAGGAAGAGTCAAGTACAGTGTGTGTGTGTGTGTGTGTGTGTGTGTGTGTGTGTGTGTGTGTGTGTGTGTGTGTGTGTGTGTGTGTGTGTGTGTGCTTTTGTTTCATAACCATCCAGTAAAAACACATTCTAACGTGTATAGGCTACCAACTACACACACACACACACACACACACACACACACACACACACTCCAGGGACCCCAAAGCTCCCCAAAAATACGTTAAATTAATTGATCCTAATAAGCAACTATAGTAAGTAGGCTATTGATAAACAGACATCAAGTAATTGTTATTTACCTAATCCTGTGGTCTCAAGGTCAAAGAAAACGATGGTACCCTGCCGAGCCATCTGCACGAATTAAAAGAAAAAGTCATTTGAACATACATTCACATATGCAGTGGACAAAGCATTAAAAGATAGTAGTCAAAACACGTATAGCTTTCAAGATGTATGCTAGCTAATTCAAAGTAGTAAAGTTAGGCGACTGATAAAGTCAGAGAGAAAAGATGCCAGAACTCACCGTGGACGCTGAAATAATCCTGTCACTGTCACAACACCTCCACAAACTTAAATCAACTAGGAATATAAATGCTTTTTTATTATTTTTCAGTGTCCTCGTGTAGCCTACTGAATGACCTGCTTGTCTTGTCTTGTCCGCTGCAGCTGCAAAACTAAGCGAGTTTCCCGTGAATGTGGAAAGTTCCCCGCAGTTCGGTTTCAGTTTCAATACAGGTCTAGTGTTTTGACCCGACTTGTCCCAGAGTTCAGGCTGCTGCTGTGGAAAACATAATGTTGAACTGTCCTGCTCTGCTCCCAGACCGTAAGTGAGGGATACTGGGGACTACCCTCTGAAATGGGGGGTGTTGACTGATCTGCTGATTAAGTGGTCATGACACCTACAAATCCTGCCTCCATGAAATGTACCATTGTTAACTACATTTATGATTGTCTTTAGTTTGTTTGGATGGAAGTAAGTGTTTCTAAGAAATGTATTACCAGATATCCGAAACCAGACATCATGCCGAACTTTTGAACAATACTCACGCTTTACGTCTCTGTTTTAAAAAGTTTGCATGCAACATGTCACAATAGGAAGCCCTGTGGGTTTGACACCTTGAGGAATGTTAACAAATGAATCAAGTCTTGTCTTCCAGGAGGGCTCTGCAAGGTCATGCACAGTTCCAACAGTATAAGGCCCCGGCCACACGAGGACGAAAACGGCTAAACGCATAGGATTAACGCAAACGCAATCGCAAAAAAGCTTCCGTCCACACGCAATATTCACCGGATAGAAGGCTTGTTTGAGACAAGTGAGACCTGCGCAGTTGCGATCAACGTCTTGCTAGTGCGTTGCATGATGGTTAGTCATTTTGTCCGACTTGCTCTGGAGGCTCGCCTACATGAGACGTTGAAATCTCGCGGGACAAAGACGCCCGCAGCCTTGAGAGCGAGGCGGCGCAGTTATCATACTGACTAAATAGGCTTGTTTGAGACGCGTTGCGGCTCGCCTCGATAGTAGACGAGAATAGCCGATCGCAGCCGGGGGAGGTCTCAAAAAGCTCGCCTGAAGTCGGACAGCTCGGAGTCAGCTTCGTCTTCTTCTTCTTCTTCTTCGCCTTCTTCTTCTCTCGGTTATTTGGCGGATTGCAAACAACTTTAAGGTGCATACCGCCACCTCCGGAGTCGGCTTGACTCGGTTTGCATTTATAAAGAATGCACACATGTGTTTAATCGTTAATGTCAGATATGTACTAAGTAAATACATTTGTTCCTGCTCAAGATTAGATTCAACTTTATTGTTATTGCACATATTACAGGTACTGAGACAACGAAATGCAGTTTAGCTTCTAACCAGGTGCAACAAGCAGTGAAGTGAAAAGTAATGTACACAATAGACAGAATAAAATATAGAATGAATTGAATGATGAATAAACAGTGAGGGGTATGAATACACTAGATATCAGCCTGTGAGCAGTATGAACAGTGTGTATGAATATGCTAAGATATATAAAGTATGAAACGGTAAGCAGTGCAAGTATAGTATAAAATATATGGATATTAATTTCATGATGATAAACATTGTGGAACAATGATGAAAAATGGGAATGGATGTGGCGACGTAAAACTGACACAAAACAACAACAAACTTTTGCCAGCCAATTGGAGAGTTTCATCAGCAGCACGTGGTAAAAACCACCAATGAGCGCTCAGCTCGAGATACCAGCGAGTCGTTTCCCATCAAGCATTTCGCTTCCGCAGCCCGTGGAGAGCAACTGCGCCACCTCGCCGCGCCTCGCTCTCAAGGCTGCGGGCGTCTTTGTCCCGCGAGATTTCAACGTCTCATGTAGGCGGGCCTCCAGAGCAAGTCGGACAAAATGACTAACCATCATGCAACGCACTAGCAAGACGTTGATCGCAACTGCGCAGGTCTGCGCAGGTCTCGCTTGTCTCAAACAAGCCTACTATTTACTGTGAATGTATGCAAAAATGTATGGCATATGGCTGTCTAACATAAGTTAAATCCATTTCTCACTTATTCTGACAATGTACTTAACCCCAAATAAAAGAACCCAATAAAAAGAGTTGTTAAATAATAGTGAAGTCACGTTGTAATAACAATAACTCATCTCTCTCGAGTTTTCTTTTTGAGCTTTGCTAAAAGCCACTGTGTCAAATGTCCATCTTGGGTTGCCGTCCGGAGTTGTCCAATATGGCGGACGATCTCGCACATGCGCACTACCGATCGGGCAGGGGGACGGATCGGGTAGTGACCATGGATGTATAACAAGAACTGGATACAGCGTGGGAGGCGGGGCCTCATTCATTCCTATGAGAGTTGCTCATTAGCGCATGATGATAAAATGGCCCAACTTTTGAGAGAGCGAAACGTCACAGATTACCCGGCATGCCTGAGAAGTACCCGTATGTGCGCTCATAGCGCATGCGCAACTTTAACCAAAATGCTCGTTCACATCAAGCACGTCAATTTGCGTACACGTAACAGCACCGTGCGTTCATGACAGCATGGTAATGGTTTGTTATTATGATGGATTTGATATTAACGAGGCGGCAGTTAGCAGCTGGCGGCTAGCTAGTAATTATGCTAATGTCCACATCAATCGTTATGTACTTATTAGGGCCGGGACTCGATTAAAAAAATTAATCTAATTAATTAGAGGCTTTGTAATTAATTAATCGAAATTAATCGCATTTTTAATCGCATATAAATATTTGACTTGAGAACAGTGAGAAGCAATTTTTTTCACATGGATTTTAGTATACCATTAGGCGCATTCACACCGCAGTACTTTTCCCACAAAGGTTCATGAGAACTTAGTTCATGAGAACAAATGAAGCCGCTGACGTCACTTCTTCTTCTTCTGCTTTGGGTTTACTGGCAGGCCGCAAACCACTTCACGGCGTATACTGCCGCCCAAAGTCCCCGGCCGGAAGTCCCCGGAGTTGGGGACTGGCTTCAGTAGAAGCTGCTGGGAGTCCCAGCAGCCTTCCGAGTAAATCGCCAGAACGCCGACACCTCCTCATCTCCACCGCTCCCATGTTTTATTTTGTGTTGCCATAAGTTAGTCTCTCTGCGTTTCTGCGCTGGGCTAATGCTAATAATGCTAATGCGAGGATAATAAAATGGCGGCTTCACCAAACTTTTTGGGAGTTTTACGGGGCGTGGTTTGCAATCCGCCCAGCCAATCAGAAATATAGCTCTTTTCTCACAAAAGAGCCGTACGAAAGTCCCTGCTCTCTAGCAGCTCTCTGCTCTCTAGCAGGGACTTTCGTGGGGGTAAAAAGGTTCTCATGAACTAATTTTAGTACCGGCTCTTTTTGGTGTGAACCATAGACTGTATAGTGTGAACGCGATAAAAGAGGCTAACGTCCACGCTAGCTTCCACGCTAGCTGCTATATGTTTTGCATTGAGGTGATACTTGAGGCTTGATGTGCTGCGGTGATATGCGAATTCCTTTTTGCATAATTTGCACACAACCGTGCTCTTATCGACGCTTCCATCCGTCCGTTTTTTAAAACAATATTTCCCACTGTTGTTCACTGTGGTTTGTTGTTGTCTGAAGTCATGAACGTTAGTTGGTGCTCCAGTATAATCGGTACGCCTGAAACTCATCCAGTGAGAAACGTTCCGCGGTGCAAAAATAAGTGCGATTAAAATGCGTTAATTTTTTTAACGCGTTAATTTTTGTGTAATTAATTAATCTTAATTAACGCGTTAAAGTCCCGGCCCTAGTACTTATATTACGCTGTAACAGGATCTAGTGATATCCAACAGAGCTTCATTTAGCATGAAAGAATTATTGCACTGTATATATATATATATATATATATATATACAGTGCAATAAGCTTCTTAGTGCAATAATAAGCTACAGGGACGTTAATCTAACGTCGGTAATATTAACTTTATTTAATACAACATTTTCGGTACAAGATTTAATCATACAGCCCATGTAGTATAATATTTTACAAATGATGAATTACAGCAAACATGTGCAATATATCCATTATTACAGCTCCGTGGGCTGGCAGTAAGGTGATATGGGTCCGTTCTTATTGTGCATCCATGGGTAAAGATAAACTCATGTAGTGCTGAACACGTAACATGAACGTGCCGGGCGGCGCGGTCCCGTGGGTTAGATGCGCGTTCATAATGCAGAGGGAAATAACTCTCAGAATAACGTTAGCACATTTTTACAACTTGAGGAACGAATGTTTTTAATAAGGGCTATACAAACGTTCATACTGGGTAGTTTATTTAGTTTTAAAAAAATTATCCAACGAGTTACAGACCACTCTTTCCCAATGTAATTCAATGGAAAAAAGTGTTTCCGGGCCTGGCAACCTAAAGGAAGTGTAGTACCGCCGTTTGGCCACAATGAATATTCTCATCAGACTCCGGCGCACTTCCTGGGGGCTTGGGCCCCAGATGTCACTGTAGTGTATATTTCTGTATATTTTTTTGAAAATGTAGTGTATTCATTATTTTCCTACACATGTATTCACTGGTGTGTCTAACCTGCAAGTTGCTCTTTAAATTATATTATCAAGCTCTGTTATTCATGTATATTAATATTTCAATGTGTTAAATGTATTCAATGTATTCAATGTTTTACATGTATTCAATGAATTCAAAGTATTCAATGTGTTAAACGTATTCAATGTATTCAAATCACTCTGATGCAAAACTGCGTGCCCGAAGCCCCCCACCTTTTTGTTTTACCATGTGTATTGGCTCTAACGGTCAGAAAGAGATGTCAATCACCAAAATCGACCAATGGGTTTCAGAGAAATCCCCATTTCCACCCAAATCACCTCAGAGGTCGAGTTTTCTTTTGCTAAACCTCTCTAAAAAGGTCAAATGTCACTTGTTTTGCATCAATCTTGATACAGGGTACTTATTATATGTTGTACTTTGGATTCCTAAAGCTTTTAGTCTACCTTACCATCATCCAAGGGTAGTTTTCACTATAAGTAAAAAATAATTTTTGGACAGACACTATAATTTACAGTTTTTTTACTATGTTCAATCTGAATTTTCTTTAAAATAAAAAAACATCTATATTGATTCGGACTTTTCTACATCCAACTCACAGGTTTATCATTACTTTGAGAAAAATATTATTAATTTAACCCTTTTTAGAAGGGAAGATATGGTCATTTGTTCTGGAAATGTCATTTTCATGCCTGAGACCTGAAAAACAGGCTCAGGGCTAAACAGGTTAAACATATTATTTTTAATCTATTTAGACCCTGTTTTAGTGTTGAGTGTTATTTTAGCATTTTCAAAGTGATAACCTGTCAATAGATTTTGCTCTGTAAACATTGTTTGTTTGGCTGTCTTGGACACCATTATTAAAAAGATCTATCTGTGAATAGTGATGGTCACGTTATCAGTCTTTTTATTCTGTACTGTCAGTTCATCAGTGCTATCTAAATATGACTACTTTATTCAAGTTTATGTTAATGTAAATGTCATGTCAGATTACTTTTGATCTCAAGGATGAAATGTAATATTGGACAAATTAACATACACTTCAATAAAGTATAGTCATATTTAATACTTGGTCACAGTCTGCACTTTAACCTCATAGTTATTGTTTCATTTCAATTCCAATGTGCTGGAGT